CAAATTTCATCATAAATATAGGCCAAAATGTATTCTGCTACATGTCTTTGGTAAATAATAATCCCAATAGGTGTAAATTAAATGGTTTATGTGAAAGATTTAGTGTTTACAAATGGCGGGATAGATACTGGAATTTTTAATTCATTAATTTTTTTACTAGTAATGGCGGTGATCAGCGACTTTTAGCGGGACTGCGGCGGGCATTCCGACACTGGGGGGAACTGACTTGGTGTCACTGACATCCAAAGCAGTGTGCCCAAGCTTACAGGGAAGAGAACTGTTAGTAAACAAAACAGTTCTCCAACCCATCGGAGATCGTCGGAAATCCCCAGGTGCCAGCAAGTAATCACTGGTTGGTACCCGGAGATTGACAGCCATGGCTGGCAGCGCGCGGCTTGTGTGCGCCCCCAACCTGGAAATGCAAAATCACGTATACTGTATATATGTGATTTTGTGCCACCCTGTAGCACTGTATCTGCTATAGGGCGGATGGGAAGCGATTAAAATTAGAGAAATAAACAGCGTTGGTCCCCCCCCCCCTTAAAACCATGCAAGGTCTTCAGGTCTGGTGTGGATTTTAAGGGGAATCCCACAACAAAATTTAAAGAAAAATGGCGTTAGGGTCCCCCCCAAAATCCATACCAGACCCTTATCCATGCATGCAGCCTGGCAGGCCAGGAAAGGGGGGGCGGGACAAGCGAGTGCCCCCCTCCCCCCCTGAATCATACCAGGCCACATGCTTTCAACATGGGGGGTGCTTGTCCCCATGTTGATGGGGACAGGGGCCTCTTCCCCACAGCCCTGGACGGTGGTTGTGGGGGTCTGCAGGCAGGGGGCTTATTGGAATCTGGAAACCCCTTTTTCCCAGATCCCGGCCCCCCATGTGAATGAGTAGGGGGTACATTGTACCCTTACTGATTCACCAAAAAAAAGTGTCAACAATAAATAAAAACACAGAGACGGTATTTGACAAGTCCTTTAACGAAAAAAAGTAAATCCAGTGTCAATCATGATGAACAACACTGCCGACGACCCCTGAAAAAAAAAAGAAAAGTAAAAAAAAAGGAAGAGGTTGGCACCTGACGTTGGCTCCTTCTGTCATGAAATAAACTAAGGGTTGGGGCAGGGGCGGACTGACCATTTTGAAACTTGGGCACTGCCCGAGGGCCCGGGGTCAGTAGGGGGCCACAATAGATGCCCCTGGTACCTTTTTCATTGGCTTTTTTGAGTTTGGGCAAGGACACAGGGGCCCCATGATCCCCTATTGCCTGGGGGCCCCATGAGTTGTCAGACTGGGTTGGGACCACCTTTGTGACACCATCAACCAGGGCATACTGGTCAGTCTGAGTTTTCTCTGATGCATTTAAGCAATAAAGCTAGATCACATCCTCTCCACTTCACTGCTTTCCATTCCCTGCCTGGGATTAGGCAGGGAAACAGAAGCAGGTGTTCACCTTTCTTCTCTCTGCTCCTATCAGTATGTTCCTTGTCAGCACATGTATAAGCAGCATACCTGATTGGCTCCCTGTTCTGCCCCATATTTGACTGTACCAAGTCAAATATGATACTTACACTTGCTGCATTTAAAAATATATTTCATCATTTTAATGAACACATAACTTTGCTTCTTGTTTTAATTACTGTAGATCATAATTAATGTACTGTTGGTAAAACTTACAAGTGAAAATGTGGACAGAATCACTTGACTTTTTAACACTAAAAAATGTTTTTTTTTTAAACATTGTATGTTTTTAAGTTGAGTATTGCTACCCCAATCGGTTTTTCTTCTTTTGTATTAATAAGGCCAGACATCCATCCCCATCTTGTCCACACTGAGGGCTCTTCTATTTCAATTAAGCATTGAACTAAAGTTTTGTGATGTGATGAGAGTTGTTTAAGCAGATTAATTAAATGGTACAAAAAGCATGTTGTCGTAAATACTCTTGCAAATGCACCGAGTTCCCAGTCAAACACAAAAGGAGATTTTATTAAAGAAAAGTAAGACTGGCTTGAACAAAAGGTTAAAAGGACAGTTTACATATCGAAGGCTTTGCTTTTCTATAGAGAACGAAGCTGAAGTGTATGCAGGGCTCCACTCTCCGGTTGGCTTATACAAGCTGATTGTGCATGTCAAGCGAAGGCTCCCTATTTCCTGTTCATCTGTCTTTCCACATTAATTAGAAAGAGTAACTTAAACTCTGAACACCAGAAATGCTGGTGACAGAAATCACTTCCATGGCACAGGCAATGACAGCTTGTTATATTCAATATTTTCTTTTTCAGTTAACAGAAGGAGAATATATGCACATCACGTTTGCCCTTATTTGACAGAGAAGAAAATGTGATTTATTTAAAACTAAATTCTAGGCAAATGGCTGAATGAAACGGATAAAAATACATATGTAAGAGATGTTGTGCCAAAAGATTTGTATTTCTGTTCATCCAGTTCTGAGATTTACACAGCTGTCTGGAAGGCAAGTAGACTTGATGTTTCTCTGCTGTAGTTAAGTGACACTTACAGGTGTTGTCCCTCCCCCAAACTGTGATTGGATAGTGAAAGGATGAGCATTTTCCGGCGCTCTGCTATCAATGCTATCACTATCCCTTGTTAGCACATGTTCCATAAAAGTAGGTATAGCGCTCACACCCAAAAGGGCCCACTGCTTAGGTCCCAAGTTCCATTTCCAATAAGCACACCAACAGCCAGCCACACTGCCACAGTCACTCCTCTGGCTCAATGATTAGTCTAGGAGTATTCTTTTCAACGCTTTATTGCAAAACTTGAACCTGGATGGCTGCAGGGTAACTGTGGGATACTCCAGCAACATTAAGTAGTGACTTGAGGACACTTAACTTCCTCCGAAAGAATCTGAGCACAGTCTTTGCAGCAGCAGAATGATGGGCTGAGCTACACTAGGACACCATGAACAATGTCCTCCTTAAGTACAGGCTGATTCTGATGCAAGAGGGATAGCAGCAGCACACAGTCAATGGATTCTCTCGGTACTCACTAATGTCATTGGATAATTCCTAATGTCCTTGGAGAACAGGCCCCCCAGCTAGCAAATATGGGAAGCTCGAAGAGCAGTACAAAGCACAGCCGGACTGCCGAAAGGGCAGCAGCTCTTCAGGCCGGGGACCTCCTCCTCCTGCACAAGAATCCTTCTGCTTCAGGCCCAACACTATTTATGCTCCCTCCCAGTCACCATCTGGGCACTCTCCCCCAGGGATTGTCCAGGGCTGCATAAATATTCAGCTGCTGATTTGACTCTCCCAACCCACTATATTCAAGAACCCTTCATAAAACAGGTCTAAGCAGGTAATCCTGCAGGTATTAAATCACAGAACAGACCAAAATAATCACATGCATCTCAACTAATTACAGTGGAGCTGTCAGGGCTCCGGGTATGACCAGAGGTGTGTGGACTGACACAGGGAAACGCAGGCTTCAGGTATAGTGTAAGTAAGACAATTTATTGAAGACTAAACAACACAAACGCAGTGCAAGGTAAACATAACACAGTGCAAACAACCCACACCCAACAGATAACCATATATACAATCAAACGTAGTCGGGCAGGCCGGATCGGTAGCAAACGGGCAAACAGGGTACCAGGAGCGAGCAGAAGAGTGGTCAGGAATAGCCGAGGTCAGGACAGGCGGAGTTCGTTCAGAGTCAGGATCAGGCAGGAAGCAGCCAGGATGCAGGTACAAGGGCTCATGGGAAACATACACCAAGGCATTGACTTCAGGTCTGGTCATTCCTTAAATACACCTCCTGCAATCAGCCTCAGGTGATGGCTGATTGCAGGAGTGAGCTTCTGGTTGCTGAGAGCGCCCTCTGGCCATCCCTGGTACTGCAGCCCACACGGCAGATGAGTCCCACCACTAATGGTGAGTCCATTCCTGACAGGAGCTAAGAACTAAATTTACCTAAACTAGCACCTATCTAGGAAGGTGCTACATACATATACAATATACCTCACATCCAGTGGGGGAGCAAAAAGTCACTGACCTGGATCATCATAGCTTATAACTGAACAACAGTGGAATCACTTATATGAAGTAGAGAAAGTAACTAAAGAAAAGTATGGAAAAGGGCTTCTGAGTGTAACCACCTTGATACAAAATACAGCTAAAGTGTAGAATCATAGCTCTCTCCCCCTGCTGGTTCACCAGAATGGCTTGTTATTAATGGTCATGCAACAACCTTAAACGTTCCTGAGAGTTTGCAGTGCTCCACCATTTGTTTGCTACGGGCACGAAGCATCGCAACCGCAGCATGTGAACACCCCATTTACTGCAATTTCAGATTGGCCACACATGTTTAATGCCCCCAAACCGCTTGTCTAAATTAAGTCTTAGATAACTTTACTTCTTTGCATTTCAGAACAATATCCATTCCTTTATCAGGAATTACATAGCAGCAAGGTGGCTTAGTGGTTAGCACTCCTGCCTTGCAGCACTAGGGTCCTCAAGTTGAATTCCAACCAGGACTTTCCCTTCATAGAGTTTTCATGTTCCCCCAGCGGTTGTGTAGGTTTCCTCCCACACTTCAGAGGCTAATTGGAACCTGTCTAATTTGAGCCTAGTATGGAAATGAGGTAGGGACTTTAGATTGTAAACTTCTTGGGGGCACGCACTGATATGATTGTACAATATTTAAAAGCACTATGTACATTTTTGTTGATATACACATATAAATATTGAGGTCAGGACTCAGGAAGGGGCCATCCCCAAACAGTTCCCACAAAGTTGGGAGCATGAAATTATCCAAAATGTCTTGGTATGCTGAGTTCCCTTCACTGGAACTAAGGGGCCAAGCCCAACCCCTGTAAAACAACCCCACACCATAATCCCCCTCCACCAAACTTTACACTTGGCACAATGCAGTCAAGCAAGTACCGTTCTCCTGGCAACCGCCAAACCCAGACATGTCCATCGGACTGCCAGACAGAGATGCATGATTCGTCACTCCAGAGAACACGTCTCCACTGCTTTAGAGTCCACTGGCGGCGTGCTTTACACCACTGCATCTGACGCTTTGCATTGCACTTGGTGATGTATGACTTGGATGCAGCTGCTCGGCCATGGAAACTCATTGAATGAAGTTCCCAATGTACTGTTGTGCTAATTCTGAAGGCTACATGAAGTTTGGAGATATTTAGCTATTGACTCTTCAGACAGTTGGCGACTTCTGCGCACTGTGTGCTTCAGCATGTGTTGGCCCCGGTCTGTCATTTTACGTGGCCTACCATTTTGTGGTTGAGTTGCTGTTGTTCCCAGTTGCTTCCACTTTGTTATAATACCACTAACAGTTGACAGTGGAATATTTAGTACCCAGGAAATTTCACAGATGAACTTATTGCACAGGTGGAAACCTATCACGGTACCACGCTTGAATTCACTGAGGTCCATTCTTTCACAAATGTTTGTAGAAGCAGTCTGCATGCCTAGGTGCTTGATTTTATACACCTGAGGCCATGGAGGTGATTGGAACACCTTAATCCAATGATTTGGAGGCCTGGTCCAATACTTTTGGAAATATAGTGTATATACAGTGTTTAGCATAAATGAGTCAACCCTTTTTGAAAAGTAAGATTTTAATCAATATCTCAATGAAAAACAAGAACAATTTCCAAAATTTTGACAAAATAGAGTTTTATAGAACATTTGTTTAGCCCATACATGAAAGTAAGGTTAATAGTATAACTTAGATTACAAAATCTTCAGGTTTTACTCAAATTAGTTGATGCAAAAATCAATACACTCCACAACAAAAACTACTCCGTCTAGTATTTTGTATGACCTCCATGATTTGTAAGGACAGAACCAAGTCTTCTAGGCATGGAATGAACAAGTTGGTGACATATTGCAACATCTCTTTTTTTTCCATTTTTCAAGAACGACCTCCATATGGATGCTGGATGGAGATTGATGCTCAACTTGTCTCTTCAGAATTCCCCATAGGTGTTCAATTGGGTTCAGAACATGAGACATACAGTACTTGGCCACTGATTCACTTTCACCCTGTTCTTCTTCAGAAATACAACAGTGGCCTTAGTTGTGTGTTTTGGATCATTGTCATGTTGGAAAAGTGCATGATGACCAAGGGCACCAGGTGACGGTAGCATCTTCACTTTTAGTATAGAGCAGTACATCTGTGAATTCATGATACCATCAATGAAATGCAGCTCTCTGACACCAGCAGCACTCATGCAGCCCCACAGAAGGACACTGCCACCACCATGTTTCACTGTAGACACCATGCAGTTTTCTTTGTACTCCTCACCTTTGCAACACCATACAGTTTTGAAGCCATCAGTTCCAAAAACATTTCTCTTGGTCTCATAACTCCAGAGTACAGAGTTCCAATAGTCTTCTTTTTCAGCATGGGCGCTGGCAAATTTTAGGCTTTTTTTGTGCATGGGTTTTTGTAACGGCTTCCTTTGTGGACGACATCCATGCAAGCCAAGCCATTCCTCTGCAGTGTACGCCATATTGTGTCATGGGAAACAATCACCCCAGTTTGGCTTTCTACTTCTTAAAGTGGTTGTAAAGGCTGAAGGTTTTTTACCTTCGTGCGGCCTTGGCTGTCAGTCACCGGGTCTCGGCCGGTGTTTCACCGCCGGCGCCTGCCGATCACAGAGTATCGCGGACGAGGGAGAGACCTCTATGTAGGCAATGCAGATCTCTCCCTTCTCAGCTCCTGCACACTGTTTTGTATGGCTCTGCAGAGCTATACAAAGCAGTGTGTTTTACAGTGTAAAGCACACACACAGCACACAGTGAAACAGCACCCAGTTAACCCTTTGATCACCCCAGATGTTAACCCTTTCCATCACAGTGTCATTAGTACAGTGTCAGTGCTTTTTATTTGCATTGATCACTGTATTGGTGTCACTGGGGATGTCAGTGACAGCTAGTCAGTTCCCCCCCCCAGTGTCAGAATGCCCGCCGCAGTCATGCTATGTCGCTGATCGCCGCCATTACTAGTATAAAAAAAAAATTCCAGTATATATACCGCCATTTGTAGACGCTACAACTTTCACGTAAACCAATTAATTTACACATTTTGGGATTTTTTTTACCAAAGACATGTATCAGAATACATTTTGGCCTAAATTTATGACGAAATTTTATTTTTACATTTTTTTTACTGAACATGTTTTATAGCAAAAAGTCAAAAATATTGTTTTGTTCTCAAAATTGGCAGACTTTTTTGTTTATAGCGCAAAAAATAAAAAATGCAGAGGCGATCAAATACCACTGAAAGAAAGCTCTATTTGTGGGGGGAAAAAAAGAGCAAAAATTTCATTTGAGTGCAGCGTTGCAAGACAGGGCAATTGTCAATTAAAGTAACGCAGAGCCGTATCACAAAAAAATGGACTGGTCAGGAAGGGGGGTAAATCCTCTGGAAGGCAAGTGGTTTATGGATACAGAACTGCAGTAATTTGTACTTCTGAATGTCATCTTTACAAATACAATAGTTTTGTTTTAGATAGATGTCCAAACTACTCCCAGTACCTCAGATCTCTTGGGACTTTGGTATTAAGATCGCTATATTCAACTTCCCATGGCTTGTCACATGCCATGGTTAATACAAGAAATGTCCACTCTCCCTTTTGGATCTTTAATGTAGTTTGATTTTATTTTAATATACATTTTCATCATGTTCAATTTAGGTTATCAAGAATTAAGAGGCTTGACTTTACTTCTCTTCTATGCTTACTCATTTATTACTATCCAGGTTCAGATTAATGAATAGTCCGCATGCATCTGTAACTAGGAGAGAGTCTGTTGATGCACAGTGAGGATTTATCCAAATTCTGTGATAGACACCAGCAGGGGCGGACTGACAACTCATAGGGCCCCCAGGCAATAGGGGATCATGGGGCCCCTGTGTCCTTGCCCAAACTCAAAAAAGCCTATGAAAAAGGTACCAGGGGCATCTCATGGGGCCCCCTACTGACCCCGGGCCCTCGGGCAGTGCCTGAGTTTCCAAATGGTCAGTCTGCCCCTTGACACCAGTTGCTGCAGAAGTGTAAAATGTCAGGTGCCAAAGGAAATAGGATGTTGGCCATTTCTTGGCACCTCCTGCCTGGAGTTTGCATGTTCTCCCTGTGCCTGTGTGAGTTTCCTCCTGGTACTCCAGTTTCCTCCCACACTCCAAATACATGCTGGTAGGTTAATTGGCTTCTGTTTAAATCAGCCCTAGTATATGTATGTATGAATGTAAGTTAGGGACCTTAGATTGTACGCCCCTTGAGGGTTAGAGACTGATGTGAATGTACAATATATATGTAAAGCGATGCCTAATTTGACAGCGCTATATACAGTTGTGGCCAAAATTATTCAACCCCCACTGAAATTGAGTGTTTTGGCCAGTTTGACATTGCTTTTGATCATTCAGTCATCTTGCTTACATTTACATTAAAGAGGCACTTGTAGGTCAGACAAATATAACATAACAGTTATAATGAAATAACCACAAATGTCTTTTCTGTGCTCACAGCATTATCAGTTTTATTTCAACCCCCAAGTGACATTCAATCTTAGTACTTAGTACAGCATCCTTTTACAGTTATAACAGCTTTTAAACGTGAAGCATAGCTTGACACAAGTGTCTTGCAGCGATCTACGGGTATCTTCGCCCATTCTTCATGGGCAAAGGCCTCCAGTTCAGTCACATTCTTAGGCTTGCGCACTGCAACTGCTTTCTTTAAGTCCCACCAGAGGTTCTCAATCGGATTTAAGTCTGGTGACTGCGATGGCCACTCCAAAATGTTCCAGCCTTTCCTCTGCAACCATGCTCTAGTGGACTTGGAGGTATGCTTGGGATCATTGTCCTGTTGAAAGGTCCAACGTCTCCCAAGCCTCAGGTGTGTGACGGACTGCATCACGTTTCCATCCAATATCTCCTGGTACTGAAGAGAATTCATGGTACCTTGCACACGCTGAAGCTTCCCTGTACCTGCAGAAGCAAAACAGCCCCAAAGCATGATTGACCCTCCACCATGCTTCACAGTAGGCAAGGTGTTCTTTTCATCATAGGCCTTGTTCTTCCTCCTCCAAACATAGCGTTGATCCATGGGCCCAAACAGTTCTAATTTTGTTTCATCAGTCCACAGAACACTATCCCACAACTTTTGTGGTTTGTCCACATGGCTTTTGGCATACTGCAGTCGACTCTTCTTATTCTTTGGAGACAGCAAGGGGGTACGCCTGGGAGTTCTGGCACGGAGGCCTTCATTACGCAGTGTGCGTCTTATTGTCTGGGCTGAAACTTCTGTACCCACATCTGACAAATCTTTTCTCAGTTCCTCAGCAGTCACACGGGGACTTCTCTCCACTCTACGCTTCAGGTAGCGCACAGCAGTCGAAGTCAGCATCTTCTTTCTGCCACGACCAGGTAGCGTTTCAACAGTGCCCTTTGCCTTGAATTTGCGAATGATGCTTCCTAAGGTGTCTCTTGGTATGTTTAACATCTTTGCAATCTTCTTATAGCCATTGCCCTTCCTGTGAAGAGAAATCACCTCTTCTCTTGTCTTCCTGGACCATTCTCTTGCCTTCACCATGTTTGTAACCACACCAGTAAATGTCTAGAAGGAGCTGAGTATCACAGTCATTTTAAAGCTGCCTAATTGGTGCTTATTATGCTTGATTGCTGCTCGGTGACATCCACAGGTGTTTTCAATACCTGATGGAAAGCACCTGTATGAACCTCTGTTCTTCAGAGTGGTAGTCTTTAAGGGGTTGAATAATTGTGGCAATGAAGAAACCACATAAGAACCATTTACTACTGTATTACATAAACAATTGATGTCATTTTAGTTGCATTTGGGTAGTTACAACGTCCTTGTAGGATTTGATTCTGAATACAATTCCAAATGTACACTATAGTCCCTAAACCCCTTTACAGCATTGGGGGTTGAATAATTTTGGCCACAACTGTAAGTACCTGAAATAAATAAATCTCTGACCTGATCTTTACAGGGACAGATATGGGTAGTTCCATTTTGCAATCATTTGAGAGAAAGCGAGATCAAGTGACATCCCCATCCCTATACTGTAAGAAATTCTACCAATCTGCTATTGTAAAAAGGTTTTCTTAATTGGATTGTAGCTGTTATAACATTTAGTCAACACTGCAAGATGCAAGTTACATCTGTTGCTATTTCATAAATTATGTCTTCTTACTTCTAGCCAGGGGCGGACTGACAACTCATGGGGCCCCCGGGCAATAGGGGATCATGGGGCCCCTGTGTCCTTGCCCAAACTCAAAAAAGCCTATGAAAAAGGTACCAGGGGCATCTCATGGGGCCCTCTACTGACCTCAGGCCCTTGGGCAGTGCCCGAGTTTCCAAATGGTCAGTCCGCCCCTGCTTCTAGCATATAGCAAAATACTTGCTCTACCCTCCCCTCTCTATCTTATTATCACAGATGAAGTA